GACTAGGAATATTTCTACTCCCCCCTGGATAGGATGCCAGTCCATCGCAGGGTCCTCGCAGCATTAAATTCTCAGGTACCCATTTATACACTAGGGTGGAGAGAGGCACTATGAGAGTAAGGTGTCTTGCCCAAGAACACAACACAAAGTCCCTAGCCAGGGCTTGAACCGGGACTGCTCAATCTGGAGTCAAGTGCACTAACCATGAGGCCACCACGCCTCCCTCCCTTCCTTGTCGAAAATTACACTCAAATTGAGGTCTTTCTCTTTCAGGTTCAACTTATTACAACGAGGATGGCCTCAATGGCAGTAAAGACATTTCACTTTCGTCCCTAAGGCGGAAGCTTTTCATGCAAGTAGAAAACAAAAATGATGCTGAGAAGGATCCACTGGAAATAAAGTAAGCAACCATACTTCATACATATAGTAAAAAATATTAACTGATCAACACAAAGAATTTGCTAAAAGAAGTTGCTGATTCTGTGTATCTCAAGTTAGTAAACTACACAAATTATTAATTCGTGATGGTATTCCGATGCAATAAATGTTGAAGAATTTACAAGAGCTCTGGACAGCTTTTTATTCTTAATTTAATTAGAGCTAGAAACTCTTTACTAACAGTTGCTTATACATATGTTGTATATTTGCCAGTACATTCCCTGGTGTTTACATCAAGGTTCCCATGATGTGTAGTTGGCTATGTAGCAGTAGCCCTCTTTATTCCAAAACATGTTTCCTAGGCAGCCGTGGAGTCATAAATTCAATTTCTTCACAACTTTTCCCAAAAACCTTCCTTAGCCCCTTGGACAAGCAAAGGAAAAAGTACACCAGCATGAGCACAAATTCTGCTAACCCCCTGCTATCAGACATGACTTTCTTCACACCCTGACCCCAGTGACATGAAAAGCAAAACAGAACTGAATGATGGTACTTGTATTTTATTGCACTGTTTCACCTGTATGCCATATTTAAGACTTAGCCTTTTTTATTAGATCCATTTTAAAGAGCCCCAAAAGTCCTGTTTTGGTAAGTATTCTGTTGAACCCTTGTTACTTCTAAGTACAGTGCATAATCATACAGAGTAATCTGCCTATTGCCAGCTTTCTTAATTTCAAGTGGAATTTCCCCTTGACAAAAATCAATGTTTTTCTTAGAAGAGATCCTCTTTGGTCTACCTTGTCTTACCAGGCTCATCAGAGAACTGCTCATACTAGGCTTGACACTCTTCTTGCAAAGACAACTGCAGTCATACAGAATTATATAACAATCAAATTCTTCTCACATTTTGATAGGTTCTTGCTTATGATCTATTAGAGGATAGACTCATAGATGACATCATTACTATTTTTTCGTTTCTTTATTATATAAAACAGATTTAGATTCCATGCTGCTGTGCATCTGTTCAGTAACAGACCACAGAAGCTGTCAAATTTTGGTAATAACACATATACTGTCGTCTCATATGCCACTTTTTCATCCTTACCATGGGTGCATTTTGATGCCATCTTTGATCTAGTACTGAACAGACACATGGCAACATGGAATCTGTTTGTTAATGTGATCAATTTTGTAACATATTCTGCAACAATCCTGTGCCAAAGAAATTGGATAATAGCAGATAATAGATTTAAAAAACCTAAGTTCCTACAATGTGTACTTTGTTCATAACTTTAAGGTCACATCTAGCCCAGTGTCTGACCAGTCAACACCAAAACATGCAATAAGGAACAGACATTCAACCGCCAGCACCATGTCAAGTCCAAACATCTCTCCAATAAAACCACTACTGTCTGTCCCTGAGACACCCACGTCCACCAGAAGGCCATATCTTTCAAGGCAGAGTCTGAGCCCAATGGAGTGTTCAACAAACGTATTTGAGTCATCTGGGATTGAAATCATAGGAGATGCCCTTCCAGATCTGTCTCCAATAAAAGCAAATTCAAGAACTGACAGCCACCACGTCCAAGAAATGGACTTGGAAACTGGTATGTCATGTAACGTGCATGAAGTGTCAATTTGCTTACTCGAGGAGTCTGGGTTCGACAACAATGTAACGCATCGTTGGCCTTCCAGAATAGCGTCTTTGACAATTGCAATANTGAAATCTCAAGCTCATAATCTAATAAACAATCAGACTATGAGCTCAAGATTTCTATTGTATGATAGTTGACGAAGGCATATCCCGAGTCAACTTAATCACACATAGAAATCAAGTGCAAATAATCTAATTGTTTTAGTATAAATCTACCAGTCGTTCAAGACTTTATCTAAATCCTTTTCACAGACACTTTGAAAACGCCAAGAAGCAGCCGTCACTTTGTTAACTAGTGCACACTAGCACGCTACTCACTATCTACAACAGAATAGATAGTGAGTAGTGTAGCCGATCAGAGAATGGCATTCGTGATAGAACTTTGGTAGATTTATACTAATTTTAATAGAAACACTTGTGAAAGTTTGGGAGAACTCGAAAAAGCAATGGAAACACTTGCCTGTCAGCTTGTGTTCACACAACATTTCTCATTTTCCCAAACTTCCATTCAGTACACACAGTACATGTCTTCTATTTCTTAAATAACATACACTTCGCCTAGAAAAACTGCTAGTGGATGCATGAAGGGGAAATGATTGCATTCAGCAGTTTTCCTATGCCTCAAAAGTGCATTATTTTCTGAGAAAACGAACATTATTTTCCATTTGCTTTAGAACATAGCACTGTGAAAAATTGAAAATATTTTCACTGAGAAGGGGCATTGATTGCACTGGCAACTCAACATAAAGGACCCAAGTGTCCTATAATTTCCAGCCATTACGAAAAAATAATGCACACTGAGTTCCAATAGCAATTATGGAGCAGGGTATATGATATTCTGTTTTATCAATTTAGTCAAATTATTCTCATATTTCAATTAGTTTTTACTTATCATCTACTGGAGGAGAGAAACATAGACGATGTCATTGGCATTCTTTTCCCTCTTCGCTTTATCTAAGAAGTAGATTTCCTATTGCCATACATCTGTTCAGTAGTAGATCACACAAGACACCAAAATGTGGTAAGGAAATCAGTGACACGCTAGACTGTCACACCATGAGTCATTTTGTTGTTTGTACAGTGTGTCACATTTCAACGTCATCTGTGACCTATTACTGAACAGACACATGACAACATAGAGGCTTTTGGTTAAATAAATGATGGCCACACAGACAAAGAACTGTACCAGTCCTTGATACAAATCTGGACAGAGCAGCTATTTTGCATCAGATTTCTTATGGTTTGTGGTACTGGCCCATGTTGTTCGAAAGGTGGATAATGCTATCCACCATTTTTTTNACAAGCACGATTTTTGTTTACATGCTTGTAAAAACCGTATTCCGTTTTCAAAATGCCGGACTGGTTCAAACTGATACGCAGCGGAAACATGGACAAAGTGTAAAGAAAAAAAAAACATCGACGCTAGATCTAACTTCATTTAAAAGTCCACGCTTTAGGGAAATTAAAAGAAATATTAAAACGGTTGCAAACTGATTCAGGAAAGAAAGAGGAAAACCTTTGTCGACGAAAGTATTTGCATTAAGCCCATCAGCGTCGAAAGATGGTCGATAAATTATTCAAACAGTGATAAATCTACTTACGTTAAAATTCCTTTCCACTATCGTTGTTGAATGCACTGGTTCTATTTCAGATACCTCTTTCTTCACAACATAATGGATATCTCTCGAACTCTCAAGTTCAATCCGAGTTCTTAGGTCGTTGTAATGAGGTTAAACTTCGAGTGTTCCTTCTGCTTGAAATTCAAATTAATTGTGGAAATACAAGCCATCCATCCTGTGAACAAATTTATTAGACCTTTCCTCGAAATATAGATCAAGGGAAAGAAAACAGAACGAACTCGTTGCCATTTAAAATTTTTTAGTAACATACGTTCACGAACATCTGAACATTAGAGCAACAGAAGTGATTTATTTGTATTCTTATATTGCCTTGCTCCTTGGGAGACTCAAGCTCCAACTGTGAACCACGAGGTACTGTCTGAAGTTAAAGATGCATAATGAATGTTGCGGAAGGGAAGGGGAGGGAAAAAAAATGAGATTAAATGTTGCTCTCTGAGACTAAAAGCTATTCACTGAAACATCCTTGCATGCCTTATTTCGGTTGTAAGATGCTTTATTTTGCAGTCACGAAATTTGTCCTTAATGCTTTTCAGACTGGGCCTCTTTGAATCCGTCCGTAACTTCAGGAATTTTGAATCAACAATAATAAAATTTGGAGAGTGTATAGTATACGACCAAAATAGTTTACTTTTAGCTGAGGAACATGAAGTAAAGGCCACATATCACGTGGTGAGTATGTTAATATCCAAACAGCTGCCTTATTTCCGCCATCTTGAATTTCTTGAATTTTCAGAAATTTCAGACAACCACCTAGAATGACTCAAAATAGATGAAATCAATGCAGGACAAGTCCTAAAAATGTTCAAAAAACTCTATTAAAGTTAAATTTTGTTTAATAAAAACAATACAGTTACAAATTTGGAAAACATAGCCTGTCATTGTGATACGTCATGTTTCAATCAGATTGAAATGCCATGCCATATTGTTCCCTGATAAACACCAGACCTGAAAAGAAGTCAACAATCAAGGAAATTTAGACCAGAATTGAAATTCAGACCTGAAACAGCATACACATGTTATGTTGTGGAGGATTTCACTGTAATTTTTCACCTAATGCCAGTTTTAAATACTTGTGCGGCAAGGAAAACAGCATTAAATTAATGAACAATCTTAGTTAAAATAACTAGCCAATCACGTCATGTGTCTATAAAGCAACTTTTTTCCATGCGCCAAGGCCCCACTGGTTGAGAAGGACAGCGCGCCAGCCAAGGTACGCCCCAGGCTTTCTGGTTAGAAAAACACGGACCTTTTTACGTCGTCCTGGTAGAAACAGGAGATATCCGTGTGAGACCATAGAGTACATGTGTCTGCGCGAGCAGACAGAATAGACGAGTGCTGTCAAAAGAATCAACGGAAAAGAATAAAAAAGCAAAGGGAAGGGCTAATCAAACTGATCTTAAATACAAATACAATCAAATATCAACGGGTAGCCAAGGGTTTAAAATTGATGGAATATTCCCAGACCTAAGAAATGCTAGATTAAAGCCATCGGTATAGCAGTTCTCGACCCACTGGTGCTCTTTACTCCTGCAACTTATTCAGACTTTTCCTATAATGCCGCAAAAAAAAAATGTGATGAAAAACTGGATGAAGGTATACTAGACATAAACGCATGAAACTGAAGACAGGAAGAGATCTCCATGGCAACCATTCCTAAATCTATTGTAACTGTTGTTTGGTGTCAATTGTTGCAGCGCTTCCGTGAAACAACAAGAAAGGCTTAAGCTTGCGCCACTGTTATTTACATATCATGCCGGGTGATATAATCTGCTCTTCTCCAAATCATACCTCATTCGCTCCCATGGAGAAATTCGGTTAATTTCTCACTTCTTGCAAATCGAGTGTGAATGGGGTGTAGAGTAGTCGCACACAAATGCAACGTTCTTCATCTTAACTCATAAGATTTTCACTTAATATTTAATGTGTTTTTTTTTTTTTAATGTATCTTCGCACTGATTTTCAAATTATTTGGTACCTGTATTTATTAATGTTTCAAAAAATCTTGAAATCCAAGTGTGTTATTTAAGACGATGCATTTTTTTGATTAGTGAATTGTTGATTGCATTTGCAAATGTTTACACACCGTGAAAGCTCTGTTTTAACTCATATCGACCATATCGACCTTTGTATCAGCAGAAAAAGTTGGACTGGGCCCCACGCTTGACTTTCTCTTTGTAATCATACTTCTTAAAATTGTTTTCCGCTTAATATTGTAAATAACTTTCGTCTTGCCTAACCTCGTTACCAGATCTCTTGTGGGCAAAGATCTGTTCAAATCCGTTTGCATTACGTCATCGCCTTCATCTTCCCCGCGAGAAACATGGGAAATGCGGAAAACCTAATCCAAAATGGCAATGGAATGTAAAAGCAGTACTAATTGAATTCTGTCGGAAAAGAAAGAATTTTGCTCAGACGTTCATGCCACATCGCGCTTGCTATGGCAAAGTCAAATGAAGTGGAGAAACAGCCGACGTATTGGAGTTTTGGCGGAGGATGAAGCAACTGGTTTTGAAAATTTCAGCCAATTCTCAATACGCCGGCTAGCTGAGGGCTGTTGTCGGGGAACATAACGACCATAACGAATTGGGCTGAGGAAAGGTGGAGAGAAGTAGGATTTATTTGTGAAAAAATGTATTTTACTGTGTAAACTGAGGGTGACATTTCATTAACTTTTCATTAACGTTTCGAGAAATTTCCTTAGTCGATCAGAATCAATCACCTAAAACTGAATAACCTGAGGGCAGTATGGAATTTAGTCTATTCTATTTACTTCTTCACTAATGACGTCATTAAGTGGACGTTCTTTAGGATGGTGCCCATTAAATACAAAGGGCTTTTCGCAATTAGGACCATATGGAAAAAAGTAGATCTTAGCAAGGGTTATGGGAATCCCCCCCCCCCCCCTCCCGGGGCATGTATACTCTCATGCTGATCCAAGAGTCCTATGAAAATTAGCCTCGAATGTCGAAAAAAACTACGGACGTCAGCATTTTTCTAGAAAAAAACAGAAGGAAGAGATATTTCTTTATTCACGGATTTCCTTAGAATTCGGCTTTACACACAGAAATGCACACACACTTATAAAGATCTTTAAACTACATGGTAAAGGGCAACATAAAAACCACTTTTGTTATTTTAATAGTAATGGTATAAGTAATAGTATTTGGGCCGAGTGGATTACAATAGACCAATTTCGATGTATTAAAATTCAGCCAAAAACAATAGACCTTAGTACGAGGTTCTGGCTACAGAGTTTGTGGGGTTTATTTCCCAGAGTCCCCTGCTGAGGCGTATTGTTTTAGGCTGAATTTTGATATATCGAAATTGGTCTTTTCAGGGAGTAATCGGGCGTGCAATTTCAAAATCGTACGATCGAGGCCGATTTGAAACTATGAGCACTATTACTGCCTAAATTGTACGACACGAGGTTCAATTACTAATTAATCGTATCTAGAACAAATTTCGAAATTAAAAACAGTCTTTTGAGAACCTTCTCTTGAGCGAAAACGTGAGTAGCGCCTTCCATAGCTGTAGGAAATATTAAAATAAAAGCCATTAAAGCGCACGTAATTGACGTGCGAATCACGTGGGTATTCAATTACAGGTATCGAATTACGATTTGTGAAATGTGGATACTTGTAATTGGACGCCCACGTGACCAGGCGCCGATTACGTGACTAATCATAACAATTACAATTTCCTCAAATGTGATTGGTGCACGAGCTGCTGTATTTTGCTCTAATTAATCTAAAAAGTTGTAATCGGACAGTGTAATCAGACAGTTTGCTGTAATCGAACACCTCTAATCGGACAGTTACATGGGCCAATCATTTTAAGTCCTCCCCACTAAATCCACCAATCACAACATTGATTACAATCACTATAGTAACAAATTTAAGAGACTGACTTTGTAAAATTGTGGAGGTGACTGCTCCGGTGACTGTTTTGAAAGAAACTTAACAGCCATATGCATTTTGCACACCAATCTCCACATTTTTAATCATGATATTTAAAAATGACCATTAAAAGCTCTTTTTCAAATGAAACTTTTGCTTTTGTGGGATATTGTAATGGTTATGATTAATTGGTAACAGGACATCGTGTCGTCCAATTCAGTCTGTAATCACGCTCGTGATTGACAAATTGACAATTGGCAAATCACTCGTATGATTACAGACCGAATTGGACTCAACTCAGTCCTATTGCCATTATAAATAGGCGCGCGGAGAGCCAATCACTATCGAGAATTTTGTTATAGATACGATTGATTATAAAATCGTCACACCAGCGGTTTTAGCGTCTCCGACAGCTCTCCTCTGGTTTAGCCAAAATACAGTCTAAATAGCATTTTTTCACAACCAGAAACTAATCACTTGTTGAATAGGCTTGCCGCTTCCATTTCACATCATAAAATGTAGGGGAGCCACGCGTGTTTAAAAGTTCATCTTTTTTTGGTGTCCGTTACATTTTTTCCCTGTCACCTCCTCAGTAAGTCAAACACTAGCGTCTCTCGCCCTGGTTTAGGCCGCGCACTACGCCATCTGCAGGTACATGGTGACAGTTGGCTTTCAGTATGATTTTCTACTGATAACAGCTAGTATTTCAGATGGAAGACGCCAACAGTAAATAGTTAAAGATCTGCTGCTACTCCCTGGTACTCTGGTGTTCCTGGTTTAAGTACAAGTTCATAAAACTTGATTCGGTCACAGTACGAAAATTTTGCTTTTAAACTAGTTGCTTTTAAACCACGCGCGCGTGGTGGTTAAACCATGCATTGCGTGATGCGCAGAACGAGTGCGCACTAACAAAATTAAATGCCACAAAAAGGCGGCTGGAGAAAGCATTGTCCTCAGAGGAGGTTGGTCACGCGCCGAACTGCATTTTGGGTAAATATCACACTGTGCTTCAGTTTACACGTTCTCTCATGCTGTTCGGATCTCTGGAAAGGCGACTGAAGATCCGTTAAAAGCTGCTCCTCAACTCCTTGGATTACCTTACCTACGCACGATGATCGATAAAGACTAGGAAAACGTGGGGGTTTTTTGCGATCGAGTCCCAGAGTGAAGGTGAGTCCACGCGAGATCGATCGATCAATACTACACACACACAGATGGATATTTGCATCTATTTCCTCCATATATCCTTCCTTGTAACATCTTATATCGATTCTTGAATAATTGTTCTCCCGTGTACTGCAGCTTTACGCTTCTCAGCCAATAAGATATTCAGCATACGAAAGCTTGAATGCAATTTCTTCTGACTGCGTGTTATTGTTTACATTTTTGCTTATGGCTTGAAAATTGTACTTTATTATTTTACAGTGAACTGAAGAGATATAGTTTATTTAATCGTAATTTGTCAGACTTTTTGTGCACTGTGTCAACGTATGTCATATCTGTATCATAGCCTGAGATTATAGTGCAGTACCTTTCTGTACTACCGAAAAATTGTCTGTGTACTCATCTCTCATTACTGGTCAATGGGGTGAAACTCTCGTATGATTTGGAACACTTTGCTAGAATACCTGTTACCGGTAAACAGGTCATCAGCAGTGAAGTACTCAATTAATTAACTGATAAACCAGGCTTTACATCTAACTGTTACGAATTATTTCGAATTTTGTGGCAATGAATATTGTTTTTGCATGTTTTCACAAAATTCCAATATCATAGCTGGTTAGTTCACAATGTGTGAGAGAGAAGGCTCAATTTGATGACAAACACACTCTAGCTAGGACATGTAGGCATCCCAAAGGGTGGTCCTTGCTATATTATGAGCAGAAGATATTTTCATAAATGATGAGGGTATTATGGTTTGTCACAAGGACTGGTTGCTTACTAGTGTATCACTGCATGTACCCAATTATCGGTGCACTGAAATTATACATCTTTCAGTAGCTAAAAAAATGTTATAATATTATAATAAAATTGAGTCTAGGCAGCCTTACCACACCAAAGTTCTGAAATGGTCACTTTGCTTTGAAATGAAAATCCTGGTCCGTCCTTGGAGAGAATAGGGCATTAAATAATAATTTTGCAACAAAACAGTGATTATCATGCTTGCATTCAAGGCCCATTTACACTTCAGTTCATTCTTAGTATAAAAAAGACAATAAATTATTATTGGGACAAGCTATCCCACCACTTTATCTGTATATTAGGGTTGGAAATCGATTTTTGTGTCTAGATGAGCCTAAGAATAACCTTGTGAAAGAAAACTTGACATTATTGTAATCCAGAGTTTCAATATTGACTGTGGAGTGGTTTCACATTGTCTTTGTTTACTGCCATAAAGTTTATAGACTCAGGACTGAATAGTTACCATAACAATAATAAAAAGTTGTAAGATTTACACAGTATTTGACAAAACACCTCAGTTGACTATTATTTAGGGTTTATCTGGGGCCTCAATTGCCTCGACAAATTGGGCTGTCCTTTCAGAAAACATCAATAATCATTCGGTGATTCTGGACAGCCACAAAAGTGATGATTTTGTACCAGGCCTTGTACCAATATGAGATAGGTACATAACACATGCACATAAGCAAAACAGATGACAACAAACAAATAGCTGTACATTACAGAAACAAAACAATACAAAGCAATATCTTTAATTGAAATTATTTTATTATCAACATTATATTACAGTCTAAAACTGGTAGTCAAGAAATGCATCATTAAACAATCATATGCTAAAATTATAACATTTTGGAGAACAGGTCTCCAAAACATGAAAGTAAATCATTGATACTAGAACTTTTCTCCTCATAAAGGAAAACTCATCAAGCATACACAAAGCTACAACATAGTAGAGACATTGAAGATGGACTATCTCTTTTCATNAATGCGCTGATTTCTTGCCATATAGGCTTCTTTCTGGTACAGGACAATAGTTTTGTTTGTATGTTTTCGTGCCCCCACTTCTGAAGTAACAACATGGTCTCTCTGTTCTCCCAAACTCTTCCGCGAGGTTTTTTAACGGCCGCCATTTTGGATGTGTTTAATAAAACACAAAAGTTAAACTACCTCGTCAAGGTAGTTTTATAAAACACGGTTCTAGACATGTTTTGTTAAACGCGCCCGCGATGTGAACGGGCAGTTTAGTAAAACAAGTTTATTAAAACACGATTTAAACATGTTTAAGCTTTGGTGTGAACGGGGTATTTGTTTAATGCCATAAACTTTATAGACTCAGGACCGAATAGTTACCATAACAATAACAAAAAGTTGTAAGATTTACACAGTATTTGACAAAACACCTGAGTTGACTATTATTTAGGGTTTATCTTGGGCCTCAATTGCCTCGACAAATTGGGCTGTCCTTTCAGAAAACACCAATAATCACTCGGTGATTCTGGACAACCACAAAAGTGATGATTTTGCACCGGGCCTTGTACGAATATGAGATAGGTACATAATACATGCACATAAGCAAAACAGATGATGACAAACAAATAGCTGTACATTACAGAAACAAAACAATACAAAGCAATATCTTTAATTGAAATTATTTTATTATCAACATTATATTACAGTCTAAAACTGGTAGTCAAGAAATGCATCATTAAACAATCATATGCTAAAATTATAACATTTTGGAGAACAGGTTTCCAAAACATGAAAGTAAATCATTGATACTAGAACTTTTCTCCTCAGAAAGGAAAACTCATCAAGCATACACAAAGCTACAACATAGTAGAGACATTGAAGATGGACTATCTCTTTTCATTCCACAGCTCCTGGTTAAAACACCAGTTATTAATATCCACAAGGAAATCAGTTGTGTAAACTCTGATCTCTGTTGAGAACAACAATTGTAAAGAAATATTGAGCTATGCCTAGATAAATGATGCAACAAGAAGGCTATTGATCTTGAATAATTCAAGGTCAATAGCCTCGTTGAGCAACATTAACCTGTAAAAATACAATAATCTACTAGGCACCAGACGTAAAAATAATAACATCACTGTAATCTTACAGCCGCAAAAATATAAATCGAGTTAAAAAGAAACAAATACTCTGAAAACAACTAAGTTTCCCTTAGTGTTTGACGCTAGTGCTGTCTTGTTTACCGCCAAAAAATGTCAAACTTTAGACGAATATAGCGAGAGAACGGTAAGAGGTGCGATGGGGTGCGACGTCTTAGAAACAAACTGTATCTATTCTAGAATACGAAGGTACGTTTTTCTTGGTTGAAAACTCCATTGTTTTGGAGCAAGAATTGGTTGATTATGCACACCGTAAATCGTGACCACGATCCTCCATTTTGGACTCTCCTACAATTGAATCCCAACAGTGGCAGGAAAATTCGACAAAATGGTCGAAAAAAGCGAAAACTTAAATCTTTAGACCCTTACCTTTCTTTTTCGTTAAGCAACTGGATCACTTAACTCGTTAATGCCGAGAAAACACCTCAAGAAATCCTCTTCCTCCCTCGAGCGACGATTCCCTCCAAATCGACTTGCAAGAATATAGACGCTCCTGATTGGTTAATTACCTCTACCATAAGGCAGTTCGGCGCGTGTCCAACCTCCTCGTCACTCAGGGAGAGAGACGTCTGAAAGTACTGGCCGATAATGCTGTCCGGTGACGTCACTACTCAAAAACCTGGTAGTGTTTCTGATTGGTTGCCGTGCTAATTTATTCGCCCGACTCGAATAATTCAGAATAATTTTATTGCCAAATTCGCGCGTTCAAGATGGCGGAAGAAAATCGCGAGCTAACGCAACAAGACTTAAAGCCGTTTCTGGTGTATGCTCGACATTTGGGGTTCCAAAACGTAATCCGCAATAAGAAAAGGCACTTTCAGAATTTCTTAGCGGAAGCGATGTATACGTAAACTTGCCTACGGGATATGAAAGGTCCTTAATACACCTTTTGCTGTTCATTTACAGAAAATAAACATTCATTTGTGGCCAAATTTCTTTCATTATGGTCAATGAACTCTCATTAACACCAATATGACCTTCATTTGAGCGTAAGGAACGTTCAAGAATAACATTTACATATGTATTAACATTCAAAATCATCAAAAGATAAACAATACCTTCCTTTGACATTCATTGGCTGTAAATGTATTTTCATTTTGGTCGAAATAAAATTCGTTGTCACGAAACGACAATCATTTACACTTCAGGACGATCAGTTTTCAACAAAAGACTTTCAATAACACAATTTGCATAAGAACTCACAATCAATTGCATTTTTATGCAACCATATCCATGAAGGTAACAATCTTTAGTGCGGTGAGACAAACATTACCGTGTTTTCACCAAACGTTAAGAGAGAACAATCGCTCATTCGCGCAATTCTTTTGAACAGAGATATTTCGCCCAATTTTCCTCGAAATTTTGATTATAGAACAAGGGACCATATGTACTTTTTTTTAAAACATATTGTCACAATCCTCCCCTTCCAGATATATGTAAATTCGGCCACTTATGAAACTTTTTGCGTACAACTCAGAGGGCGCACTAC